ATTACATAGAATGATGGAAATATGACTTCAAGTTAATCGTATTCTCGCTAATATGGTCATTCATATTAAATACAATACTTAACCTTTCTGGAACGCAGCACCAGAAATTGTATTTATGTCAAGAAAAAGAAGTACAGTGGCTTATACAGAAAATATGTGCAGTCTTCTGACTGAAAATGCAAGTTATTTTTAGACTACATAAAAAAACCCATGCAGTTTCTGTGTTACATGGAAAAGCTGTCTGATCAATCTTGTGCCTGTTTCCAATAGGCTAAGTACATTTAAGATTTAGAGAATCAGAGATGATTCACAGGAAAATACATTCCCATCCCTAAAGCAGATGAAGGAATTAACTTACAATAGCTTAATCATGTCATATCACCTCATGCTTGATTTCACTTTCTGTGTATATGTGTTGTTCGGAGCCAAACTATGAGGAAAGGGATAGACATCCTTTACCGCCTTTTAGTCCTGAGGTGAAAGAAGAGGCAAGTTTGCAGGGGGGAAAAATGCGTATTTTGCCTTTAAAATTGATCACTTTGTCTGTTTTGAAGGGTTTCAAAGCTCTACTTTGATTATTTACAGAAGAATCTTTCCTGTCCATCTAAAATAGGATTAATATCTGCAGACATGTACTTTACTCCAGATTCAATGCCAAGAAGTCCTATGGAGCCATTCCTGATACCAAAACCACTTGTATTAGAGGGAGTTCTTGTTTGGATGGTTTTTAGATCAGATGCAGAGTGAGAAGAAAAGTAATAATTTGGTATTTCTTTCTTGGAATTTACTTTACTGGAAGAGGTGGACTGTTCTGCCATGTCTGGCTCCACATATTTTATCTTCATTCACTTAAAAACAAATATATAAAAATAAATAGAGCTGTGTCCTTGGCAAAAATTAAATACTGAAATGCCCGAGCACAGTTAACTCCTGCTGAATTCCCCAAAAGCACTGGGTCCTTATCATTCCCCCTGAACTGGATGTTTTAGCATAGATACATTTGACTGACTTTTGCCTCCCTAACTTAAAGTGTTTGTAGAATTTCCCAGGAAAGCAAAAGCAAAATATAACTTAGGCATTCCAGACCTTGTGTTTATTTCATTTTTACATTAGGAATAAACCTTAAAGTAACACCAGAACTGAAACTGGAGTTGAGGAGATCCAGCAGAGCAGTAATAATATAATTTAGAATTTTCTCTGAGCTGGAATGCACTCAAAATTAATTATCAACCATTTGTACTAAGAAGAGAGACTGCAGCAATATATTTCATGGAACAATTAAAGCATGCATTATACTGAAGAACACAAAGACACAAACAGTAGAAACATTCCACTCCATAATTTACCATACTTCCTCTTCAATTTCAGTGTGATTTAAGGACACGCCAAATATTGTAAATTGCGAATATTCTTTTAAAATCCTACTTTGGATTTTGGAACTCCAAATTTATAATGCTAGGTTCTTTAGGTCTATGGAACTTGGAAGAGTGTTATGCTTCCCTAGGAACTGTTCAGGAAGGGATTCATGTGTGCTCCTGAATTCAGGCCTGTCAGTCACTTCCTCCTGCTCTTGCCCTGGACTGAAGTGAAGGAAAGAATTTTTTTACACCCCCAGGAGGTCTGTGGAAAGAGGAGCTTCAGAAATACTCTGTGGGTACCTCAGCAGACCAGTGAAAACACAAAGTCTGATGCAGGAGCTCAGAATACATTTGTTTAGATGTGGCAGCTCTCGAGGACGTGGTGAGACCCAATTCAAAATGTTTGGTGAATCTCGTATCTCTGAGTGGTCACCTGTTCCCCATCAGCAAACAAGGAAGAGAACTGGTTATGGATGCTGTTAACAGGTTCAGATTAAGAACAAGCTGCTGGTAAATTGAGAAGGCTAATCTAAATTCCAGTTGTTCAGAGTATGTTGAGAATGTTTTTAATATTCTTTGACCCAGATGTTTTAAATTATAGGTGGAGATAACCTTTAAGGTTTGTACAGTCCCAAGCATTAATTGAGCAAACCTTTACAGGTAACAGACTGACATTTAATTTCCATTTCTCTTTTTCATTTTACAATCTTTCAGGGCATGGTCATGCAAGGACAGCAGTTCAGGCAGAGACTGTGTGGTGCTATGCAGATGGAAAAGCACCTATGTGTTATAATTTGCAGGATGTATGTAAATGTCAAGGTGCCAGTGATGCACCAAATCAATTTTTTTCTTTGGTATTGTTGTGCAACATAGAGTTTAAGCAGTTCACAATATACTGCATTTCAATCTTCCCCTGTAGATTCCAAAGACAAGATATCAGCATAAAATTTGTATGAAAAGTATTTTCCCCTCATAAATGAGTCTTCATAAATTATTCTGTACATCAAAAATAGCATGGTATGTATTTACTTACAGTAAAAGCTATGAGTATTTAAATTATTTAAATGATGATATAATAGGCACTGATTTTATACAGCAGAAAAACCCCCAAACAAAAACCACAACCTAACAAACAACACCAGCCTAACCAAAATCCAAACAACTTCCCTCTCCCTTAACTGAATCAAGTATTAGTAGAGGTCAGGCAGCAGTTAAGAGAAGAACTGTACATTCCCAAAGTCAGTGTTCACAGGAAATGAGTTTTGCATTTTTTTCAGAACTGTGTTCCTCCTTGTGCTTATGAGTATGTGTTAATTTTGATTATATTGTTTCCTATCTGGAGAAAAGCTTGGGACTTCCAACTTATTCACTGCAATAATTTAAGGACTGAATTTCATTTCCTCTCCATCCAATATTACAATGCAGGCAAAAATTGCCATTAAAAACACTTTCTAAAATCAGTATATATCAAGTAGATAATTCTGAATAGTTCCATTTAATCCCAGATCTGTGTCTCAATTCAAAAAGTGGTAATTGATAACTACAAAAAAAAAACCCCAAAACCAAACCAACAAAAAAAAAATCCCCAAAAAAACACCACCAGCTGAAAAGAAGTGGCACATTTTATAGAACTTTCTCAAGAAATGGCAAGCTGCCCAAAGCCTGCAGTGCCAAAGTCAATTTTTCATAATGTTACTATAAATTAAAAATAATTATGCTTGTTGGAGTAGAATCATCTTCAATTTTTGTTGTAAATGAAACAAACTTCATCTCACTATGGTACAACAGAGAGAAAAACAAACGTGCATAAACAGGTTTCTGTGGTTTTGCCAGTCTAGTCACTGGGAGAACAACTACTTTGGCCCATACTTGGAAAACCTGAAATAAACATTGAAGTCACTGCAACCTCTTTGCTAACAGTTTCATTCTGTTTAAAAATTCTCATTCAGCTTGATTTCTTTAGTAACAATATCAGGCAGGCAGTTTTTAAAAGCTTCAAGACTGTGAGCTGCTAAAATATGCAGCAAGAGTATGTGACAAGGTTTCCTTCACTATCAGAGATTTTACAAATCATGTCTAAGGACACTGGGTGTTGCTACATGAAAACCTCCATGCCTTTCTGTTCCAAATCTGGTTTTTTCATCAAAGGGAAGACAGAAAGTAGAAAAATAAACCCTGAAAATTAAATATAGTCACACAAGATGAAAGCTACCCAAACTCTCTAGAGATCTGGGCCAGTGTGTGCTTGTGAAAAACAGTGTCATGACAGCATCAAACCCAGCCCAGACTCTGTACTCCAGATGCTGGGTTCTTATGGTAAAGTCTTTGTTCTCCAGGGCTCTAAAGCTAAATAAGGAAGTCAGGCAAACAGGTGAATGAATAAGAGCCAGAGAGATGGTTGTAAGGGTGTGATAGAAATACAGAATGACACATGCTACAGGTTGTTCCTTGTATGATGTTTGGCATGGAGAGACGTGATCTCCAGCCTTCACAGCAGGCAGTGTTTTGTATCCTTTCACTCCCACTGGATTCAGTTCACAAAATCTTTAACATTCTTCACTTAAAAAAATAATCAAGGACTTGCAGTTTTTTCTTTGCCTTATTATGACAAGACTAAGATTTAGAGTTGACTTAGCTACGTTTAGACACAAATGAGAAAAATTTTGTACCTTTTGTAAAGTATTTTTTTGGCAAATACAGTATAGAAAAGAAAATTTGGGATAGTGAAAGCATGGTTTTAAGACTGTTTTGCATTGAAGTCTAGCAAGTGACCATGGAGAGAACAATCAATTGCTTATCAGTATATCAGAGCTGACCTTATCACTCTCTACAACTTCCTGAAAGGTGGTTGTAGTCAGGTGGGGGTTGGTCTCTTTCTCCAGGCAACAACTGAGAGAACCAGAGGACACAGCCATATTCTGCTGTGTCCTAAGCTTCACCAAGAGAAATACAGGAAAATTAGGAAAAATGTTTTTACGGAAAGAGTGATAGCGTTCTGGAATGGTCTGTCTGGGGAGGGGGAGGAGTCACCATCCATGGATGTGTTTAAACAGAATGGATGTAGCACTCGGTGCCATGGTTTAGATGAGCTGTTAGGGCATGGGTTGGACTCAAAGACCTTGAATGTCTCTTCCAACTTAGTGATTCTGTGATATCACAGACTCAGAGCCTCCTCAGGCTGTCACTGACCTCCAGTCTTTTCAGTCTCTAATACCTGCCATACTAAATTGTCCTGGGTTTGTGAAACAGCAAATGCTGATCAGACCAGGTAGTTCTTTGCTGCTGCTTTTTTATAAGTTTTTCCAGGCCAGCTGACAATGCATGTGTGAGAAGTACCAAGAATTAATTAACTGTGGCCTCCTTAAACAAGTTCTCAATAATTCTGTTGTGATAGTAGTACAGTCATACCCATCTTGCTATGAGGACTGATCATTAAAGATCCTTCTTTCCTCTCCACTAATACTGAGTAATCACTGTTAATCTGCAGAGCTGCATAGGGAAATATTTGCATAGCAAATGCACAGCAATGAGCATAGAGTATTTCAGAAAAAAGAAAATCACATATTTGTTACTGAATCATGCACGCTAGGATAGATAACATTACATTTTTCTTGTAAAGTAAAACATTATTTTTATACCCACAACAAAACATGGACCTGCAGAACTTTTCAAGCAATCTTCAAGCAGCTTCATGCGAGTCTTCTGCAGCTCAGGACTGTCCCATTCATCTGCTTCAACTCCCCAGTATAAGTCTATGACCTGGAAAACAGTATGCAACAGTTACTTATCATATGCCCTTTCTACCAATCAAACTGAAAATTAGCTTTGCCAACATCCTCTGCACTAAACTTTGCTCTTCAGCGTGGTAAAATGCAATGGGTTCTCCATCTGGTCCTTGCACAGACTGTCAGGGTTTCCTAATACAAATAAGAATTCCAGCCTCTTACCTTCCCTCCCAGATAGTCCCTCCTGGGACAGTCTCTCATTTCATAGTCATATGGAGATTAGCATGACAAGATCTTGATTTGATGCAGTCCTTTATTTGCTACTAGATTGCATATAATGGGTAGGTAAGAATAATGACAAAAGAATCGAAAAAAAATCCTGTCTCCATAAAAATTAATGGGAATCCCACTGTGGATCACAGTCAAGACCATGACTTAACATCCAGTGTCACTTGTATCCACAGGACACAAACTCATTCTGTGCACATGGCTCAAAAGAAAGAATAGCAATGGTTTTACATTATCATAATTTCTTTGTTAGCTGATCCTTGTACTTTGGAAGCAGAGATTGTAGAGATGTGCAGTGGAAGAGAGCTTGCTGTCCAGACTTTCATATTTAGCTACAGACTCAGTTTCATGACCCTAATTAGCTGCAAACAAATCATGATCTTTCTCCTGGAAGAAACTATTCATGTTATACTTATTTGAACAAATTCAGTGATGACTTGTGATTTCACTATACATTTTAACTAAAAGACTGAATTCTTACAGTGGGAAATCAAATTTAAAAGGATAGTGATCATCTGTGTGAATTACTTTTGGAACAAAACTCATGGTACAGGCTACTACTCTCTCATTTACTACTGATTACTACTGATTAACATATATGTGACTTTAACAAAAAAAAAAGTCTAAATGGATAGTTTAAAAAACCAATCAAAATTATGCTAATACATAAATATATTACAAAATTACAGTTTATTTTAATATTGGTTTTTTCAATAGGAAGGACTCTGCAAGAAACAGAATCATAAAATTAGCTGTTGTCCAAACAGATTATAAAAAATAGCCTGAAGATTTAATATAAGAACTAAAAATCAGTTGATTTAAAACTAAATTTCAGCAGATTACAGCTGGTTACTCTTGGGAAATTTCTCTTACCAATACCAAAGTTTAAGACCAAATCCTAGAGCTATTTATGCCCATGTGTAATTGCACTACCAATAGTCTCATTGATTATTTCTGCCTTAAAAGTTTGTGACTCATATCAGTGTCTGCTGCAGCAGGCACATTGTTACTAAACATGGCAGGTAGTGTCCTGTGTGACTCATGATGAGTGAAAAAACCCAGGTATGGAATGCATTGAGTGTAAAAAAAGATATTGAGAGTGTTTTCTTGGCAGTCTAAGTGTAGCTTAGACTGCCAAGAAAATACACTCAATATCTTTACTTTTCACAGAAACTCTGTTGCAAAATTTTGCAGGAGCATGCATTTTCTGCTCTACAAAACTGCATTTCAAATAACCTTCCTATTTCTCTCACTTGCACAGATTTCTTTTCTGTCCTTTCTTTTTAGTCTCATTAAGAAAAAAAGTGTTCCACTCTTCCTCTCTACTTTCTGTTATTTATTAATACAACTTTATTATCGAACTTCACATTGTATTAATCTGTGATTACTTGCATGATGTATGATAAGACTTAAATATTCTCATTATAAAATCCTTCAGATACCAATCTTAGCATACAGTAAAAAAATGTTTTAATTACTTGTTGAATGAATTTATTGTGCTGCTGAGGTTCCTCTGAAATGTGAAAGCAATTTCTATTTTAATTAACTGTTCAGAAATCACATTAATTCTGAAAATGTGAAGAAGAAACTCCCTGGAGTACCAGATAATTGCAGGGGCTCAGTGGCTGTTTGTTATTTATGGGGTAACAATTTTGGTGCATAGTATCTTAACATGATACAATTTGGTCCTGCAAGAGTAAATATTTTACCGAACAAAGCCCCGAAGACACCAAAAATTTCAAAGAAAAGGTCTCATCAGTTGATCATTATGCCAACTAAAATAAATAGGATTTACAAAATTAAAGAAATAGAACAAAGAGACAATTATATCTGATTTTGAAGCATGTGTTCACTTATACTTGGAAAACTGTGTGACAAACACTCAAACTTTTAGCAGGGCTGCCAAGGTCATATGACAAGTAGTGCCCTCTGCAAGAGTTCCTTACCCACAGTGGATTGACACTGCTGTAGTTCAATTCCACACTAGTCACCTAACAAGAGATTTTCCATTCATTATTCAGTGTTTCCTTTTGCTTACTTTAGCTTTTGTCCTACCAATCTTACAGTTTCACAGATTTTGCTTTGGAGACAATTTTTTTTAAAAAAAATCACTTTCATGAGCTTAAAAAGGAACTAAAAATTCCATTAATGTAAAATTCTACTTTCCTTCTAGCACATATATCCTGTTGAAAATTATTTGAAATGGTTCATTGTTTTGAAGAAGTGTATGTTGCTAATTAAGTATGTTTGGTGAGCCTCCCAAAATTTTCAGTTACAACTACTTTCTTTAACCTCTCCATCCTCTCTTGTAAAAGTACTGTATTTCAGGTCAAAACCACCATGAATTCTGGAAGTTTTTTCTCAGCTTATCTGCCTTCTTAGCCAATAAGTGTGTCTTTTTCTGAAATATTTTCTGTTACAATGAAAAAAAAGAGCATCAAACCAACAAATTCATAGTATGATTGAAGATAATCAGTTCTGCTTCCACTCATATGGTGATTATGTTCAGTAAGAGCTCCCACCAGATCAATGACACCTCACAGATCTCATGCTTTGCAACAACTGAAATAGAGTGCAGCCAGGTTACTCAGTGAAACTTGGAGTAATGCATGTTCTCAGATGCTTTTCATTTGGGTCATGATTTATTAGGTAGAGGGTGTCCTGAGTAGTGCATTTGTGGTAGTCACATGAGAGGTAGCTCTTGTTTGGTCAGTAGAAGATTACATACCAGGATGAAAAGTTATGTGCTGTGCTCGGTACAGAGAAACATAAATTTACCCCTGTATCTGAAAATTACATAATATTTTAACACTGCACAAAAAAATGTAGTCTTGATTTTTCATGCTAACCCAAGAAATGTAGTGTATCAGGACTGGAATAAGGAAAAAAAAAAAAAGGTCTTACTAAAGTCTACCTCAGAGTCTCTTTCAAAAGGCTTTGCTACTTTTCCTTGGTTATTTTTGTACATCTTCCTACTTTGCTTCCCCAGAAATGTGGTAGCTTTCTAGCAGTTTTCTGAATTGTGTCAATAGAGCTGTCTTTCACACCTCATATAACATAAACATGCTGGTGTTGAAACTACATGATAAAATAATTTGCTACCATAAATATCAACTAGAGTAAAGTTAATTGTTCCTCCCCTAAAGACTACATTACAATCTGTTTGAAGAAAGATGTGTCCTCTCACAAAGAATTCAGTGGATTATGATCTACTTGGAAGAGACATTTCCTTCACCAAGAAGTCTCCACAAAGATAACAGAAATAAGGGGTTGATATTTTCGATTAATATCACATGGTAGTAATACAACAAAAACATTATTTAAATATCTTTTGCTATTCTTTTCATGTACCACTGCAGCTGGGACTTCCCAATCAGCTGATGAGCTAGGACCTTCAGCTGAAATTCTTTTATAGCCATAATCAAAAATCACTGGAATTTACCATCATGCAGATTCAGCAACTCTACTGTGACTCAGGGAATTAAAACCAAATATCCTAATTTAAGAACTTGTTATTTTGATTAAAAACCAGCTGCATGCGCATCGAGAATAATACAGTGGGAGGAACAGGATGTTGCATAAAAGGCATTAGCTGTTTCCAAACTACACTCTGGAGAGATGAATTTTCGGGGTCACTCAGTATGCAAGGAAAACTTGTGGATGCAGAGCCAGAATTTTTGGAAGACTGAACAACATTTTTGCAACATCACAAGCTGTATTTGTTTCTCTTAGCAGAGAAATGGTTCTAGAAAGAGAAGAATACATAAACTGACTGAGCAATGGGAATGCTACAGTTGACATTAAAGAAAGCAAGTTCCATAGTATATAATCACAATAAAAATGCACCAAATTCAATTCATTTTGGTAATCAGTTTTGGCATTCACCTGGTTAAATTATTTCCCACATTACTGTGGAACTTAAATATGGTTTCTAGAAACACAACACAGTAATTCAGATGTAACATTATTTCTTCTTATATACTCTGAATACCTAAAAGAGAGGTGGTGCTTTTTCATCTATTCAGAATTTACCTCAAATCTGCTTGTAAAATAATTTAAGTACATCAAGGGCTGAGAGAGCTAGGCCTGTTTAGCCTGGAGAAGATACAAATGAGAGGGGATTTTACCCAAGCACACCTTGGGTAAAATAAAATAACCTAAAGGTGGGTGTCAAGAGGAAGTAGCCAGCTCTTCTTGGTAGCACCAAGCGATAGGGTAAGAGGCAATGGGCAGAAACTGGCACACAGCAAGCTCAACCTAAATATGAGGAAGAACTTCTTTACTGTGAGGAGCAACTCTAACTGCTTTACAGTGCACTGGAAGAGACTGGCCAGAGAGGGTGTGGAGTCCTCTTCTCTGGAGGTACTCAAAACCTATTTGGATGCAATCCTATGCAACTTGCTCCAGGTGAACCTGTTTAGGCAGGGGGAATGCACTACACTACCTCCAGTGATCCCTTCCAACCCCAACAATTTTGAGTGTGATAATGTGAAACAAAGTTTTTGTAATTTTCTATTTCACCAATGATATTTAAAATGTTATCTGTTCTAAATAGAGTTAATTTCAACACAAATTAATACAAGATTCAACACAATGAAACCTACCTGAAATTCCAGGCCATAGTTTTCTCTGCAGAATTCTCTCAGCTTAGGATACACATGTTCTCTTAAGGCTCTCCTTTCTGCTATTGTATCTGTGTTGTTGAAAAAGATGCTATTAACAATATTTATATAAACTCTTCTTTTAGTCAGGGATACAGATTTTTCACTTAAAAATGAACCCTTAACACACACAGAGAGCTAATGAAAATCAAGTGCGGGGATCTAAACCCCAAATTGTATATTGTACAAACACAGGGAAGTGCTAGCATGTGTAAATATACGTAAAATCACATAAATGTGTTTGTATGTGTCAAAATTATGCTTCATACACATCTTACTGTTGCAGCATATTACAATTCGGTAGAGCTGAATTCATTTTGCAGTTTAGAATTTCTTTATTGTTTTGACTTCTATTTCGTTTCCAGAAAGCTGAATTTTACAAATAAGAAACACCATGGAAAAAAGAGATACACCAAAGATGAAAGAGATCTCAATACTTAGACACAAATCAATGACATGAACTAACAAGATTGTCCCAAATGTATAACTTTCTTCATCATCTTTAATCTAATAGTATCTTAAAACCATTATTCATCATTATTAGCATTATTTATCTTTTGCCCTGGTGATTCCTCCTATAATACCAAATACCCAGTTCTGATATCATGTAATTCTTACCATGCAAAATGACACATTTTGATTATGACACCAAAATATGGCAATGACACCAAAATTATTATTAAGTTCAGTATATCCAAGTAAATCTCAACACATTTTTATAAAACATACCACTTGCACATCTGGTCAAATATGAAATAAACTCGGTTAGTAGTGAAATTTTGTATAGGCAATAAATTTTATTCTCTTTCACAAGACTATGATATGTGATGGATTTTGCTACATTGCAACTGAGCTGAGACCACACAGAGCAGCACTGTTGCTAAATTATTTTCAAAAATAGAAAAAAAGCTGTTGTAAACCACTAGGTGTGAGTGCCATGTGATGAAAAATGAAGTGTTAACTTATAAATGATAGGGAACATATACTTCAGGTATCGCATTATTTGTGTAACTGCCCTGAAACAAAACAATAGATTACAACTGATTTGATGCTTCCCATATTGTTGCAAAGAAGAGATATCTGCAAATCTAACAATGCTTTAGAGCCACAGTCAGAGCCAGAGCTGACATCCCTGAGTCAGATGTCTGTTCGTAAAATCATGGTCACAGATGTATAAAGTTTTCATCTAAAAAATCTAGGAAAGTGTGAAATCTGTAATTTAATTTATTACACCAAATGAATAACATCCTTCTCACCGTTTAAGTGTATCTTTGAAATATTACACAAATGTGTGGTGTAATTACCACTTATTTTCACGAACAGAAAGCAATCCAGAAACATCCAGATAATTATTTCTCCTGAAATCTTCATCAAGGTAAAAAAGTCTATAACAAAAGGTTCAAAAGTACAGTCAGGTTTAATTCAATTTATTGGAATTACCACAGTTCTTCCTTCACAAACTTTTGATGTGGAAAGAAGTCAGAGATGCTTTCAGAAAACATCCCCTCTAAGTGGAATAATGTAATGCAATGCATTTATGCTTTAATGTTTTAAAATATACAATCTTATGTGTTCTAAAACTGGTCCAGGAAGCATTAAAGTCCTTGCTACATCACAGGCTTTCCATTTGACTGTCCACACGCCATGCACAATGAAATTCTAAATCTCACTTTCAATGAAGTGCAGATCTCTTATATATCCAATCTGAACACCGTTAATAAGAGACCCTGCTCTGGGCTACATTTGGGTGAGTGTAGTCTCAGTTTCTCTGGGGCAGTCACTACGCTCCTCTCCCTGACACTCCCTGGCTGCACCAGGAGTGCTGTGCCCAGCTCTGGGCACGCCAAATCAGGAGGATGGGCAGGAAACTGGAGAGGCTTCTCAGACAGAGGCCAAAAGCACATGGCCTACACAGAGAGATGGAGGGATCTGGACATGTTTAGTTAGTCCAGTGAAGAGTGTAAGAGGGAGCCAATGCAGCCTACAATTACTTCCAAGGCATTTACAAAGATGACAGAGCCAAGCTCTTCATGCCAGAGAATACAACAAAGACAATGATAACATACTACAGCTTGGAAGTTCAGGTTGGGCACCAGGAGAAGCTCCTCCGTCCTTGGAGCTCTTTAAGACTCAACTAGGCAAGTTCATGGCTGACCAAGTTTCTGCTGACAGCACCTCAGGAGGGAGGTTAGCCCTAGTGACCTGACCTGAGCACCCCTTGCAGAAACCTGCGGCGATCCTCAGGAGAACTTGCAGGTTTGGCTTAGTTATCCAGGCTGCTTGGACACTGCCTGGGAAGACTTCGGCTCCTGTCTGGGCTAGTGGGAGCAAAGCTGTAAAGTAGCTGGTCCCAAGGACTCAGTGTCAATGCCACATATTTTTCAGGGCATTTTACTTTACATTGAGCTCAGCCCTCACAAACATTTGGAATGCATTTGGTGAGAACCCGGAGTTATCTTCCTGTCTTTTATCAAAAAGGAATCCATGCACACCAAGACCCCCCTATGATGTGAATCAAAGTGTATTAGATAGTGATGATCAAGAGATTCCCTTCACTTGCAGATCTGGCTGAATACAGACACGTCCTACAAATATTTAGGAATGGAGTGAAAAAAACAGCACTCTCAGCTTAGAGCTGCCTGTGTCAGTACATAAAAGGGATGGATGAGTTGCTCCCTCCTTAGGATCCACAGTCATTACTTTTGTCTCATACTTCAGTGTCTAAGTCATCCTTTCCTTGCAGAATGTAGTACACAGCTAACAAGGCTAATTAGTCAGAGGGTTGCACGATGCCAACACAGCAATATTATTTTGGCTCCCAAGCAATGGTGTTGCTGTACCTTTGATAAAAGCTAAATGTGTAGTTTGCTTTATTTTAAATACTTCATTTTTTAACCTTCACAGTAACTGAGATGCTTAGATCAGTCAGTGATAGAAGAATTTGTATTCTATTTTTTTTTTGCCTTAACACAGGTTAATTTTGGCATGCAAGTTTATGAAAACACAGAGCATCATATCTTCATGATCAAGTAGAATAAACTCTGTTGAAAACCGGGTTATTACTCAGTTACTGAGATAAACCAAAATGATTCTTGCATTTTTGAATGAAAATTAATCATGACTAGAGCTTGGTTATTAAGGAAGCAACAATCCACAGTTATTGTTTGCCGTTACTTAAATGTGACAGCAGACAGAATGGTCTTACTAGGGATATAAAATAGGTGAAATTGCAGGAAAAACAACAACAAAAAGGAAGTACTGGAAAAAAGCAGAATTTTAAATGATAAATAGGAAATATTTTGCCTGAGGTTTACAGCAGATAAAACCATGTTCTCCTACTTTTTGTTTCTGCCCACAGGATTTATACTGCAGAACCCCACTGGCTCTGGTTTTAGAACATGGGGCTGTTCCCTGCAGCTTAACATGCAGAGTCTCGTTCAGATAATGAAGCAACACACTGCAGGAGTAGTGCTACTTTGTAATATCTTAGAAAAGAAATATATAAAACATTCTTTCAACTAGAACTGTGCTCTGGGTAAGACACTTGGCACACCCATTTTTATTCCTACTTTCATATCTAGTGGAGTGTGCTTATCTAATTCAAATTTGAGTCTGGTGCTTATATTAATTAATTTTAAGAATTCCTGTATTTGAAATCAGCTTTGAAACTTTAAGGAAACAGAAGTGTATATAGTTAAGATGAACTCTGGTAATTAGTATGGATGGCAGATAAACTGGTTTAATTAAATATAATCTAAACTTGATTTAAAGTGATGGCAAATCTGTGAAGCTGGCAGCTCCTAACAACGTCACACAGGCAAATTCCACCTTCCAGGCTGCTGCTGCAGATGAACAGATTAACTAAATTACATTCTTCTAGCAGTGAAAATGAGACAGTAGTTGTGAGATGAGCTTGCTACACCTTTTAATGCTATTCTGGTACTCAGAAATACAAATAATAGTTCACAATAAACTGTGGGAATGAACCTACATGTGAAAAAACATAAGAGAAAATTTAAAAACCCTCCAACCCTGAACTTGTCTCCAGTATTTAAACAAACCCAAACCCGTGAGACAGTGACTTTCTGAGCACACATCATCTATACAAGAGCCATCTCTTGCAGATGGCTGCCTCCTCAGCCATTCCATACCCACACTGTCCTGCACACCCCTGCACCTAAAACTGACAGAGAATGTCAGCCCACCCTCCTCCTCATGTTCCCTGGGGTAATCCTGAAGACTGTACTGAATGAGTCACATATCCATTTACACCCTTTCTCCTGTCCAATAAACACAATTGTTTGTGTGCAGTGTGATTTCTGAAGGCTTGTAGCTCAGTCAAATCACTGCCAGTTTTCATTAGAGTATGCCAAGGTGCTGCTTCTCAGCGTGAACTATTCCCATGCCAAAGTCTGACCTTCAAACACAAGCTGTTCTGCTATTAAAGTCACTTATTTTAATAGAGCAAGTACATTTTTTTTCACTCTTGTTGTAGTAAACAGATGATGTGTATTTACAAACAGTTGCCAAACATTCATCTCTGGGACAAAATAAGTCATGGAACACAGCCCTGTTGAAGAAAATTTCAAAATGTATGTGCAAGTGAAGAGTTAACATGGGCCTGATGGAAATTGCCTATTTTCAAGCACCAGCTATTCTGTCCTAAGACCAAATAGTTTATCTTCTTGCTGGTGCTGTACTGGTCTGAGTTCAGCCACAGTGATGTGAATGGCTGTTTTGATGTATGTGGGTTGCAGTCACAGATGAACTCTACTCAGCCAAGGCTTGATGCAGCAGAACAAGGAGATTGCTCAGCCCCATTCTCCTATCACGTGTTGCAAAGGAGGTGCCAATGTGGGGACAGTGAGCCCCACTCACCATGGTCGAAGGAGCAGCACATTCCAGTGGACAATCTGTTCATGGCAAAGTAACCTGTGAGTACCCATGCATGGTGCAAGCTAAGGTCCTCAAACAGAGGAAAATCCTAAGCAGGGAGGGTGTTTGCCTTGTCACTGACTGACAGAGGAACATT